TCATATTCAGTCCCATCATTATCAAGATTCATATTGCAAAACAAAGATTTTAGGGGACACATCAATAACTTTTAGATCTTCATCTTTATTTTCATAGGAACTAGAAGAACACGCTCTTATAAATGCATCTTTCTTAGCATGCATCCTAGCGGTTCTTTCTTTGCACTCGTCAATGGAAATTCTCATGGATTTGAGAGACTCATTGATATCATGCTTAGGAGGAATAGATCTAAGTTTCAAAGAATCAACATCAAGAGAAATTCTATCAACCTTCCTAGCCATCTCATCAATCTTAAGCAATTTTTCTTCAATCAAAGCATTGAAATTCTTTTGCGATATAATAAATTCTTTAATATTAGATTCAAAATCAGAGGGCATCTTATTCTAATTTCCATAAGAATTGTTGTGGGAATTACCATAATTATTAGAGGGATTACTAGGATAAGGCCTAGGATTAAAATTTCCTCTATACGCGTTGTTACCAACATTATTCCTACCAATAAAATTCACATCCATAGATTCATTATTGTTCTCAATCAAAGTAGACAAGAGCATATCATTAGGATCAGAAGAAACACTCTTACTAGCAAATAATTTCATAAGTTCATCTATCTTTCCACTCAAAACATTAATTTCTTCTATCGCATGCACTTTTTTATTAGTAGATCTTTCAGTATGCCATTGAGAATAATTAACCATAATATTATCTAGGAGTTTAGTAGCTTCTCCTAAAGTGATTTCCATAAAAGTGCCTCCCGCAGCCGAATCTAAAAGATTTCTAGAAGCAAAATTCAATCCGGCATAAATTTTTTGTATAATCATCCACAAATTCAAACCATGAGTAGGGCAATTACGTATCATTAATTTCATCCTCTCCCAAGCTTGTGCAACATGTTCATGATCAAGTTGCTTAAAATTCATAATATCATTTCTAAGGGAGATGATCTTAGCGGGAGGAAAATACTTAGAGATAAAAGCATCTTTGCACTTGTTCCAAGAATCAATACTATTTTTAGGCAAAGACGAAAACCAAGCTTTAGCACGATCTCTAAGCGAAAAAGGAAATAGCTTCAATTTAACAATATCATTATCCACATCTTTCTTCTTTTGCATATCACACAAATCAACGAAGCTATTTAGATGGGTAGCGGCATCTTCACTAGGAAGGCCGGAGAACATATCTTTCATGACAAGATTCAGCAAAGCGACATTAATTTCACAAGATTCAGCATCGGTAAGAGGAGCAATTAGAGTGCTAATAAAATCATTGTTGTTGGTATTGGTAAAGTCACGCAATTTAGTGTTATCTTGAGCCATCGTGACAAGCAAGCAATCCAACACACAAGCAAACCAAAAGCAAGCGGGCAAAAAGAGGCAAATAGAGAAAGAGAGGGGGGTAGAGAGAGAGGGTGAATAAAACGGTAAGGGTGAAGTGGGGGAGAGGAAAACGAGAGGCAAATGGCAAAAAATGTAATGCGGGAGATAAGGGTTGTGATGGGTATTTGGTATGTTGACTTTTGCGTAGACTCCCCGACAACGGCGCCAGAAATGGCTCGTTGTCGGGAGTCAAATCTTGACTTGCCCGAACCTCCCTGGCAACGGCGCCGGAAATTCTTCTTGCTACCTCTTGAGCACTGCGTTGGATTTTCTTGAAGAGGAAAGGATGATGCAGCAAAGTAGCGTAAGTATTTCCCTCCATTTTTGAAAACCAAGGTATCAATGCAGTATGAGGTTGCGCGTGCGTCCCTAGTACCTGCACAAAACAAATAACTCCTCGCAACCAACGCGATAAGGGGTTTTCAATCCCTTCACGGTCACTTACGAGAGTGAGATCTGATAGATATGATAAGATAATATTTTTGGTATTTTTGTGATAAAGATGCAAAGTAAAATAAAGGCAAAGTAAAAAGCAAAAGAAATAACTAAGTATTGGAAGATTAATATGATGAAGATAGACCCGGGGGCCATAGGTTTCACTAGTGGCTTCTCTCAAGAGCATAAGTATTTTACGGTGGGTGAACGAATTACTGTTGAGCAATTGACAAAATTGAGCATAGTTATGAGAATATCTAGGTATGATCATGTATATAGGCATCACGTCCGAGACAAGTAGACCAACTCCTGCCTGCATCTACTACTATTACTCCACTCATCGACCGCTATCCAGCATGCATCTAGAGTATTAAGTTCATGAAAACAAAGTAATGCCTTAAGCAAGATGACATGATGTAGAGGGATAAATTCATGCAATATGATAAAAATCCCATCTTGTTATCCTTGATGGCAACAATACAATACGTGCCTTGCTGCCCCTACTGTCACTGGGAAAGGACACCGCAAGATTGAACCCAAATCTAAGCACTTCTCCCATTGCAAGAAAGATCAATCTAGTAGGCCAAACCAAACTGATAATTCGAAGAGACTTGCAAAGATAACCAATCATACATAAAAGAATTCAGAGAAGATTCAAATATTGTTCATAGATAATCTTGATCATAAACCCACAATTCATCGGTCTCAACAAACACACCGAAAAAAGAAGATTACATCGAATAGATCTCCACAAGAGAGGGGGAGAACATTGTATTGAGACCCAAAAAGAGATAAGAAGCCATCTAGCTAATAACTATGGACCCGAAGATCTGAGATAAACTACTCACACTTCATCGGAGAGGCTATGGTGTTGATGTAGAAGCCCTCCGTGATGGATACCCCCTCCGGCGGAGCTCCGGAACAGGCCCCAAGATGGGATCTCGTGGATACATAAGGTTGCGGCGGTGGAATTATGTGTTTGGCTCCGTATCTGATTGTTTGGGGGTACGTAGGTATATATAGGAGGAAGGAGTACGTCGGTGGAGCAATAGGGGGCCCACGAGGGTGGAGGGCGCGCCCCCTACCTCGTGGCCTCCTCCTTTGTTTCTTTACGTAGGGTCCAAGTCTCCTGAATCATGTTCGGTGAGAAAATCACGTTCCCGAAGGTTTCATTCCGTTTGGACTTCGTTTGACATTCCTTTTCTTCGGAACCCTAAAATAGGCAAAAACATCAATTCTGAACTGGGCCTCCGGTTAATAGGTTAGTCCTAAAAATAATATAAAAGTGGATAATAAAGCCCAATAATGTTCAAAACAGTAGATAATATAGCATGGAGCAATAAAAAATTATAGATACGTTGGGGACGTATCAGCTGGTATGTTCATCTATTATCAGGAACTCCTCTTCACATCTGAATTTGGGTGGAACAACAATTCTACTGAGACCCTGGCATTAAAAGCAGCACGGCAAAGACCGGAAAACAAATTTTGTCAGATAATAGAAATTTAGAATCATTGAGGGACATAATACCACTCTGCTATCAAATGGAGCATAATTGCATCACAAAATATTTGAGCTAGCATGTCTTCTTTTCCCAATCAAATATATGTATTTATTTTCTCAAAGCTAGTCTTTGCTGTAAAAATAACTTTATACTTTTTCTTTGCAGTTTGAATATGGTTAGCTCTTCTGCTACTTTACAGATTATGATGGTTCTATTCTATCTATGTAGCTATGGGATACTGCTGGACTGAAAAGGTCAAGAGTATTGGTGTTGCATAACAGCAGAGTATGATTATTTGTCTGTCTCACCTACAAATCTAGCTTGTGTAGGATACAGTAATTCTGATACCCAGAGACCAAAAAGTGGTGCCTGAATAATACTATGAAAAGGATGGCCTAAACAAAATTTTGCTCATAAGATTGCATGCATAGCAGATTGCTGACAGGAAAAAAATTGCACTAAAAGGATGAACAAATCCGACTTTATGGGAAGAGAGTGCAAAAGTCATGAAGAGTGAAGTATATTATACCTAATATGTGTTGTCAAAGGTAACGACTTCAAGATGAATTATCAAACTGATACTCAAGGTTGTATTATTGACGTGAAGTACCAATACATGGGAGCAATGAACATGGGGATAGTGGTCGACGACTACACAAAGGCGACCGCCGTTCAAATGAATAACACACCTGTTACAGAGACCTCTCATCGCCATCTAGAGCAGAATCATTTGGAGGAAACATAGACTGGAGGGCCGGAGGGGAGGGAGAAGGCTGGCCGTCGCCTGTCGCCAGCCACCCTCGTTGCCGCACACAGAGGCCTGCCTTCTCACCAGATCGGGTCGGATCAGTGTCCCGAGATAGAAGATGCACACGGTGTCCGCCCCCTCGATCTACCTCTCCCAGCACGGCCCATCTCGATGAGATGTGGCCGTGATGGATCTGGCCGCGCCCCGTTGACTTCCTCGACTCGATCTGGAGCCTCCCCGCTTTAAGAAAAGAAGGTGAGTGGATGGCGGCGCCGGTGGGGAAGAGGGTAGCTTTGGGTGGGTGGGCGGAGGGGGAGGGAACAGGGCGGCTGTGCACGGGCATTCGAGGGGGCCTCGTTTGGCTGATGAGATTTCTTTGTTATGATTTACATATTAATTTTCTTAAAATCGGTTATTTGTTTCCTAATTAATGTGATTCAGTGGTTTTTCTTAAAATCAATTATTTGTTTTTTATTAATGTGATTGAGCGATTTAAGATAATATTAATTAATTTAGATTTGATTTTTAGAGATTGATCGTAATTGATTCTACATTATTAAATAATTTGCGCCAGTATGAAAAATTCTGATATGTTCAGATTTTTTTTCATTGTGTAAAAGGGTAACGCGAAAATAAATCGGTGAAGTAGGAAAGGGAACGAAAAAAAATCTATGAATAAAAACCTGCGAAAAAACCCAATGAAAATGGGAGGTAAGACAAAAAAACCTAAAATGATTGCACCGATTAATTTGCCAGCCCAATCTTCTACTACTACCTCCGTTCACTTTTATAAGTTATTTCAAGCAGTTCAAAATAGGTTGTTTTGTATATTATCTAAAATGTCTTTAAGGTCTTATAAAAGTGAACAGTTCAACAAAACCTCCTCCGCAGCCTAAACCTCGGAAAAGCCCAACCCAAACCCTAAAGCAACCTCCATGGACTTCGCTCGCCGGAAAGCGGCGGCGCTGGCCGCGCTCTCCTCGCCGGCGCCGGACAAGTCACCGAAAGGCGGCGTAGACGCCCCCATCGCCCCGCTCCTCGACGCGCTGAACTCCCACGCGGATCTCTTCACCACGTCCTCCTGCTCCGGCCGCATCTCAGTTCTCGCGCAGCCCTCGCCGCAGTCCCAAGCGGCCGACCCCAAGCCCAAGAAGAAGGCCCGGGGCGGCGGGTGGTTGTACATCTCGCACGACCCCGCTGACCCGGACGCAGTTGTGGAGCTCCTGTTCGGTGGGACTGGATGCGGAGAGAGGGGTGGAGGGGACGAGCTCGTGTTCAGGTTCGAGCCGATGATCGTGGCGGTGGAGTGCAGGGATGCTGCGGCAGCCGCGGCGCTCGTGGCCGCTGCAATCGGGGCGGGGTTCCGGGAGTCAGGTGAGCCGGTTTGTACATCTCGGGTTTACATAGTAGAGTTCAGGTGGCGTGCTTGATTGACTTATTGTGTTCCATTTGCTTGCAATGTTGATGCCTTTTTTAGGTATCACAAGCTTGCAAAGACGGGCAATGGTAGCAATAAGATGTTCAATTCGCATGGAGGTGCCTCTTGGTCTGACAAATGAACTTGTTGTTTCTCCTGAGTACATCCGGTACCTTGTTAGAATTGCCAACTGTAAGATGGAGGCAAACAAGAAACGAATGGATGGCTTTCTAGACGTTTTGCAGTCAAAGGTATGTTTGTTTCTGCATCCTAGCAGATATTATCGTTTTCTTTTACTCTTACTGGCATTATTACTCCCTTGTTTGTTTAACCATTTGTCCATTACCATGCGCTTAGGCAAGTGTTATCACGTGAAGTTTGAACATGTATTTACTGACATATATATTAGTGCATATCAAGTTTAAATGGATTTTCAGTTGTCTTTTCCCAGACAGACTAGCCATGTTATTTTTAGTCAAGTAAACTCAATTAAGGAGTTATGATATACTCAACTTGTGAACAAAGACACGGATGCACTAGGAAGAACGAGCTCACATTGTCACAGTAATGGTGCAAATAGTATGGTGCTTATCTCATGCATTGAAACAAACTGACCACAGTTATGTTAAACTTCTTATTATGAGCAACTACCATGGTTCTGCCAACAGTAATGCAATCAACTCCTCAAACCAGGTCGATGCAGACTACACTCAACCAGCTTGCAGTGTTTACACGTGAGCACTCTTATGTGCATGCGCCACAACCTCACCTTATGCATGGACTCGATGCAACTCCCCGACCAAACCCACCGGTTCCTGACCGTTGCGCCTGGGATCTAGACTGGTCCCACATACCAAGTACCAACACTAGTCTTTCCTGCACACTTTTTCCTTACTCGCGCGCACCCAGAATCAACTTCCCAGTTGGTCACCCATCCTCAAATTGCTCCAAGCCAAGCACGCTTAACTTTGGGTTTCTTTTGGTTGGGCTCCCGGAAAAGAAGACGCACCTTGTTTATATGAATAGTACATCATTCCTATTAAACTGGGATGTCACATACCCCCCCCCCCCTCTG